AATATTCACATTTTTTTCGAAACTGCTTGAGGGGATTTGTTGATAAATTAGGTTATTGTTAAGAAGCTGGGAGTCTACAGTAAGAACACCTCTTATAGTTTTGTAAAGTAAATGAGTAAAACTCAAATACCAGACATCTTATATATTGATATTGTATCTTATATTTCTATAAGAACAAATCACAGACACTCCAAACTTTATTCGGATGTACGTTAGAAGAATAGCAACCCGAAAAATATTTTTACATTCAGGGTAATCCAATTAAAAAAACTGCTGAATGCGCCATATTTACGACTATATGATAGGAATCAAAAATCAATATTGACCACTGAGTAGAACAGAAAAAATTATAAAAGTCAGTCTTGAATGAAAAAAGAAATACTTCTGGTTTATTCAGAAATTTAGTGTTTCCACACATGATTATGCCCAACTCTGTATTCACTAGGCATGCATCTGAAATATCCAAGGAGAATTACAGAAAAGTCCATTATTGAAAAGGAATATTCTGATATACAGGGTCCCAACGATTAAATAGGGACAATATTTGCTATTTCCTAAACGGTAAGGAATAGGAAGTTGATTAGATTAGACAAAAGTTGTGTAATTTGAACCTCTTTAATATGACGTTTTGCAATTTCGAAAATGGTCAGCCGTTCAGCAAAGGAAAAATATTGAAATTTTCTGTAAATCATGACAAACAAGTTGGGATTACCAGAAATATTTTGTCTTCATTATTTTCAGAGATTCACCATGCAACTTTGGTTTTTCTCGCGGGCGCCTTATTTGTTTTTTATACCATTGTATAGAGCTGAAAATTCTCTTTCAGCTTGTATAGTATTTTGACAGTTTCACATGAAACTGCGCCAAAAAAACAGTAAAAACATTTTCAAATGTTGTAGGCCATGATAATAAGAAAACAAAATATCAGTCGTCATTACTACAAGTACAAATACTTCTTCATAGCAATGTAAATCACGCTACAACGCTACACTATTATGCGAAAAGAATGAACATGCACAAACATGCAAAAAAAAACCAAGGGAGATGGGAGGGCCAGGTAGCAGCGTGGTAGAATCGTCAGTATTCTAATCCGCGTTTGCATGCCAGTTGTTGGTTAAATTCCCCGCGACTGCAGGAATTTTTTAGATGGCTCAAGAACGTTTTTGGGGTCACACGTTGAAAGATAAGGCCCCGTCATTCCTTGCTCTTCTCTCGAAGACTTCTGAGGGTTGCTTGTAAGGGGGCAACCGAATGACGGATAGAACAAGAATTTTAGTAAATTAAAAGTTGAGATACGGGCATGTCAGCCGTTTCGATCAATAATAAGTACTTTTGATATAGGTGATTCCGAAAGTTGAAAAATTTCCTCTTAAATAGATCGATGAAATCAGCTCATAAGGGAGAATCCGAAAATGCAATAAAATACAGGGTGTGCCATAGGAAGAGGTACCTATAACTTTAATATGCCACGCATTTTTTAATCACCCTGTATAACGCAAAATATTTTAGAAATGTGCTGCTCATGAGCCTAGACCATCTCAAAAATGTTTCATCATCTATCTCAAACAGCTAAGCCGTTATCTCACTTTGCCACACTATTGGTCCACCCTGTATATAGAAATACATGAGAAATTCGCATTCTCTATCTGGATAAATAGGATTTTATGTTCGGTATATTAAACAGAAAACAACTACTGATCATATATCGCCGCCGTTAGTGTGAAGCACATCAACCCTGAAATGGCCAGTCATGCTAGCCGTTGAAGGCCAAGAAGCTTCACCATAGTCTAGTGGATCGAATGATAGTTGTTTCCTGTTCCGTATGAGATTATAACAGGGTGTCCGTTTTTCGAGCTCCACTATGGGGATCTCAGTTATTACATGAGATACGATGTCGATTTTAAAGGGTAAATTTGCACATTTTCATGCTGAACAATTATCTGAAAGAAAACTTCATGTGTCATTTTCAGTTTCTGAATTATTAAAAGAAAAAAGAAATTTGTAATGTTCGTTCTTATTCTTTCAAGCGAAAACCAAAATACCAAGACGTTTTTGACATTTTCAGAGCAGTTTTTTACATAGAATCTAAATCTGTCATCGTATTTTCCATAGCATTCTGGTTGCCAAAGCTACGACCCTCAACTTTTATTTTTCTTATGGGGGTTCTGAAGGTTTATAATAATATGTACCTCTGAATTCTATTTCATTAAATAAAACGGCATGCCAAATATTTTATGAAAAACTAATCTTCTAAACAAACTTTTTTATGATTTTCTCAAGTAGGAGTGCTTGATATAAATTTTCAAATATATAGCGGGTGATCACTATAGTATTTCCCCTGTGGAAAAAAAAATCATTCGGGAAAGAAACGAACTGTTAATTTGACATTTCTTCCACATCTTGTTTTCCGGCTTGTAGTGGAGGGTTCGGATTACTCTTGACTAGATGATGGTCCACTCATCGGCACGACTGGAACGGATTGTGAAATCTTAGGTTCAGAGAGAATATGCTGGCCTCACTCTGTCCATTGAAACTGTTGTGTTCTTTCCACGAATAGAAATGATCATTTGTTGTTCTCTTCTGTCGATGATACGGAATGGTCCATCGTCAGGAGACTGCAACGATGCAAACGAACAAAAACATGTGTAGTTGTTGATGAATCCTTGTAGACGAACACTGGATAATTACCATGACGTGAACCACAGGTAGGTCTGATAAAAGACATATGTTTTGGAGTCTATAAACATAGTTTGTCGGATTCTGTTCTGCTGGGCTTGGTGTTAAAAACTCTCCAGGGAGTCAAATGGGTTCTCCGTACACCATTTCTGCAATTGAAGCACCTATATCTTTTTTGAGAACACCTCGCATACCCATTATTATTGGGGGAATCCCCTCAACCCAGTCGTCGGTTTGGTGGTAACGGATTGCAGATTCCAGGTGTCTATGCCAACGTTCCACCATCCCGTTTGCTCAAGGATGGTAAGCTGTGGTTCGTATGATATGAATACCACCTGTTCTTGCTAGAGCTCTGAAAAGATCACTCTCAAACTGGCGGCCTTGTTCTGATGTAATGCGCAATGGTACACCATACCGGGAAATCCATGAAGATAACAAAGCTTCGGCGACTGTTTCAGCTGTGATATCATATACAGGGCATGTCTCAGGTAGGCGTGAGAATCTGTCAATAATGGTCAAACAGTAACGGTAACCATTCAAAGGAAGCATTGAGCCAACCAAATCAATGTGTATATGTTCAAAATTTGTACTGGGTGTTAAAACTGCCAAAGAGTCCGGGTGGGCCAACAGAGTAGCTTGCGCTAGACTTTCTTTGCATTTACTGATGCTTGATTACCTTTCACTCTTCCTTCCAGAAGTTTATTCAATGGAGCATGAAGTGTAGCAGCATCTGATGTGAAACGATGGTAGAAATTCAACATTCCCAAGAATCTTCGTAGTTGTTTGCTAGTTTCTGGTTGTGAAAACTCCATAATTGCCTTAACTTTTCCGTTTAGAGGCTTGATTCCATGCTCAGAAACTGTGAAACCTAGGAAGTCTATTTCGGAAACGCCAAACTGACATTTATTGACATTTATCACAACGGCATAGCTTTGAAGTCTTTCGAAAATGATATTCAGATGTACTAGGTGATCTTCTTTCGACGATGAGGCTATGAGTCTATGAGTATATCATCGATATACACGAAGCAAAATTCAAGTTCACGAGTCACTTCAACCATAAAACGTTGGAACGTTAGGGCTGCATTTCTTAATCCAAAGCTCATGAAAGGAAATTCAAATAGACCAAACAGTGTGATAATAGCTGTTTTGGGAATATCCTCTGGAGCAACTCTTATTTGATTGAATGCTCTCACCAGGTCAATCTTCGAAAATATCAACTGTTTTTTTGAGAATTGTGAGAAATCTTGAATGTGACGAATGGGGTAGCGATCAGAAATTGTTCGTGCATTGAGTGGGCGATATCACCGCAAGGACGCCGCTTCCGATTCTTCTTGGCTACCAAGTGTAATGGCGATGATCAACAGCTATCAGATTGACGGGCAATTCCCAATTTCACCATGGCTTCGAACTCACGCTTAGCATTACTAAGTTTTGTTTCATTCAAACGTCGAGCTTTGCATGCTACTGGAGGTCCTGGAGTTGTACGAATATGATGCATCGTAGTATGTTCCATATCTCTAGGATAACCATCTGGCTTTGTGATTTCTGGAAATTGACTGAGGAAATTGTGATATCTGGAATCACCACAAATGGATTTCAAATTGGTCTGATCATAAAAGCACTAGACCCCAATTGAAAAAAAAAATGCCCGACTCGTCTCCAAATATGATTCCAACACGTATGGGCTAAGTTGATGTTGAGTTTAATGAGAAGGAAAAATAAAATGATAGATCTAGACGAATTAGAAAGTGGCTCTAGTAGATGCTAGGGGAAGTACAACAACATATTGACAACTGACGACTTACAAAACATGTTCTGTTATTTTTTCACGACGATGGTTAGCTGTAGCTGTATGTCATAATTTCGAATTACCCTGTAGGTCATTATTACAGAATTTCGGAAGAATCGGTTGACCCTATCCAAAGCGAAGAGTACCTACCGAATTCTCTAGATCATCTTCTGTAGTCAATGTACAAAGCAAAGTTTAAGTAGTATTCATTCCTTAAACTGTGCCAAAAGTATTACATGTAACTATTAGTTACAGGAACATCTATAGGAAATACTAGAATGAGTTACGCTTAGACAAACACAAATTTAATGCTTCTTTTTCCGCCATTCATACGGAAAAATGTTCATAGAATAATGTTCATAGAATAATGACTTTGAGTGCATTTTTGGCATTTTTTTCAATCAGAAAATAGTTGAACAAAGAAATTCGAGTTTCAGTGCATAAATACTGTATGTGCATGTTTATTCATCATTCTCTCTTTAACCTCATTTCATCAACTAATCCTGGTTATGGTGCGATTTTGATATTCATAGGATACCTCACTACAGAGAGCTCATCGTCACGATACTCTAGAAGCACAACCAAAGGGCCAAGGAGTACGAGAGCTACAAGGTCCCTTTCTAGGAGCAACCATAAAAACTCCGTGAAGCCAACATCGGTTATGAAACATTCTGAAATGGAAACTCCTGCTAATAAGCGGACCCCGCCAAACAGTTATGGTACTATTACACCAAAGGTAATAATCTTTTTCATCAACTTCGTATCAACAAGTATGATTAATGTACACGACATTGATCGTTAATTACCCCTTATTAACGATCAATTTGTCTATTGATGAACAATTGTGGTATTGGCAACTAACACCGCATTGATTCACTGTTGGAATCATAACTTATTTAGTATGGATTTCAAGATAATGGGTTAGCTTCTTAACGTTTCTGACCCGATTTCAATCCCTGTTTTCTAACACAAAAGGAAATTATTTCCCATGTTGATAATTTCAACAAATGTCATATGTTACTAAAGTCAGTGACAGGTTGATTTTCATGGCCACTAGGTCATTGTTAGTAGTTTCTGGATGAATAATGAATTCGCGAACCCATTTTTTTTTCACTGCAGGAGAAATCTAGTGGACAGAAAATGTTTGTGAATAACTCGTGTAGGTATATAAGGCGAATAATGATTTCGATTATTAAGGCGGTCACTTTGCTCCACGTTAAAATATCTCCATCAACACGACCTCATTAATACACTAGTTTGTTGAATAACAATTTCCGGTAATTCTGCACTTATCATGCGCTGTTTTTTGTTACCAGACTCGAATCTCGTCTGTAAAGACGAATTCGAGATATTTCACGATCAAGTTTGAACTCTCACCTTCTTTTTCCGCCTGTGTTGGATACGGATTTGAAGCTATTTGCTTTTTTTATTTTGTCATTAGACACTTTATATACTCAAGATGTACTTCAATGACACATATTATACAGTATGTATCCAAATAACACCGAAAAAATTCAAGTGGTGTTTCCTTGTGACATTCTAGCAAATGAAGTTCATATAAACATTGTATAGAGCATTGGGCACACACGTGTGTACCCAACGATATAGCGAACTGAGTACCGAAAATGCTTAGTAATCGCGAGCATTTTCTCAATAAAAGTGCTTGGTGTTCGAAATTCCGGAGCACTTTTCAAGAGTGCTTGGTGCTTTGTGCTCGAAGAACTTTGTCAAGAACGTCAATAAAATATTCAAGAACACAACATTAACACCTTGTGAATAACTTTACACCCCCCATCATTTCGAATGATTTTTTTCCTTCTTCAATATTTGTTTTCACTTCCGTCGTTGAAACTTGTTGTGTGATGTTATGAATGTTCAGAATGAATTAAAGTTCTTTTTCACCGACGGTGAATGTGATTTCGTGCATATTTGACATGCAGCTTAGCAACTTATGTCTTTGATAATTGAATGACCGTCAGCTGGTGTGATTGTTCACTATATTTAAAAAAATCACCAGAAAATCATATTTCTAGTTGCTTTTTGGTATATTAAATGTATCATTGAAGTACATCGTGAGTATATAAAGTGTCTAATGATGTAAAAAGAAGGGCTACTGGTTGTAAATGCGTATCTAAAACAGGCGGGAAAATAAGGTGATATTTCGAAATTTGAGTAAAATAGAGTGAAATTCAAATTATCCTAATATGAATTCCCAATGTATCATAATGGGACTGAGTTTTATGATTGACATTTTTTCACTAGATTTGAAAATGTCGTTCGCATTATTGGAGACGCTATCACCAGATAGGCGAATAATAAGACAATCGAATAATTCATCAACATTCTCGAAGAAGACATTATATATTTTTGAATTCGAATGTTGTCTAGAATTTGGTATTCATCGATTTCAAAAATCATCAGGCATCGGCCATCTTGACACCATCATCAAGTTGTTGTTAATGATTGTCATAAGCACTGTTGCTTGAACTGCGAGAATTGACCAGCCCCGGGGTTCATCGCGGGAAAGAGAAGGTCGCATAACTCGCTCTCGCTCAGATGAACCTTTTTTCTTGAAGAAGGAGAATTTTTCTTGAGGAAGGAAAATATTGTTTCTGCATAAAAAATGAGAAAACCTAACCTATCTATTTTATGAGTATATCTGTACTTGTTTCGTTGACCTGTGTAAAACTTAATGTTTATTAACACCAAATAAAATATTCTATTCTATTCTATTCTAACCTAACCTAACCGAACCTCACCTCTGGCCTAAACCACAAACATAGAAAACCCCTAATGAACCTATTTCCCATAGAGAATATTTTTTAGAAATCACTTGAGAACAAGAAAAAAATAAAAAAAAGATGAGCCTCGCACGGATTCGAACCCCGGCCCGCCGGCTTGGCATGCCGATGCTCTGCCTACTGAGCCAACCAGTTGCTTACGAGACGAAGTATGATGAAGTACTGTGCTTCGGCTATGTGCCAAATGCATTCTCGCGAGTGAGAGGGCATTATATGTCCTTCTCTCTCCCGCGATAAACCCCGGGGCTTGTCAATTCTCGCGCTTGAACTTGATGCATCTCAATTGGCAAGTCTTTTGATAATATCAAGATATTATGTATCAATATTATGTAGGAGTGGATGCAAGATTTGAACAGTTATGAACAAAGGATTACCGGAATCTAATCAAATACTTAATCGGTCGAAAAATCGATTGATCGAAATTGCAGCTGATCGACCTACACCTGATTCGAATAATGAAGTCATACGCTTTATTTGTTCAGTTATGGGGTATTCTATTGGTTTTTCCCAAACATCGATAACGTTTTCGAAGTTTTTTCTGTCTTAGAATGACCACTCAATCTGAACGAATATACCCTATACAGGGCGGTCCAGATATACGTGCCATAATTAAAAAAATATATATCAACAAAACACACAGTAAAATTAAATAACTGTGTTCCTCACCTCAATTTTGATATCACGCTTATTTTGAATAATTGAGATTGAGTTATGAGAGTCATTGAATCACTCAAGTGTGTACTTATTAATCAATCGATAAATAGGTCTAGGTCAGTATTTTTCCAAAGATGCTATTTGCCTATAATTTCGCCGCCACTGTCTACATTATTCATGTTCAATCCATTTCACATCTCAGATAATGCAAATTACAATATTTCTTAGCGAATTGAAGAACAGGTCAAAATATTATCGAGGTGGTAAATAACTTATTGAAAATCGGTAGGTAATAAATCGGTTTACACTTTTTTTTCCTTTTTTTTTCCTTTATCGCTTGGAGCGCACGAAAGCGAATCCCTATAATGTTCAGGGAACATCGTGCGTTCCTAGGGAGGAAACAATTGACGGAAGTCCATCAAGGCCTCTAGCCTTATTAGTTTCAAGGCCAAGCAGAATGCGTCTGATCGATTCCTGGTATTCGACTTTCAACAGGAGAAATTACTGGCGGAGCTCTTTCTTAGGAAACTAAAGTGGAGTTTGCTGCAAACATTCCTGCAAAAAATGTTCTCTTTCTCTTGCGATGTTTTTGCTAATGTGCCGTCAACTTTGCAGAGTGATAGGACTGAACTATTAGGGGAATTCCTTTCTGCTCCTGGTATTCTATTTCGTCGCTGAAACTATTTGTTTGTTGCTATGCTAGTGCCATGGATACCGTTGAATTACTTCAGAATTATCAGATAGTGAATGCATTACCTCTCAGTGAAAATTGAATAAATCTATGTCACTAGAGCAATAACTTGTAAAATCTCAGTTATTGCATCGTCTTTTCATTCGTATCACTTCGTAGTTAATAATTATTATCATTTTCAGTGCAAACCAAACACACCTCTTGTAATTTTGAGACGTCCGAAAATGGGTGAAACGGCATTATCTATGCAAGGTAGTCCACTTTTAACATCTTCAATAGCCACGGAAGAACAGGCAAACATAAACATTCCCCTTGGCGATGGAACAATGCTGAGTCTACTGCCACAAAAAGGCCTCAGGATGTCCCAGATACCACAGTTCGACTCCAACACTTTGAAGCAGTTGTCCAGTTTGAGCGAGAATCTCAAGAAGGTTGTTGAGGTTACCGAAAAGAAATATGGCTTGAATTTTGATTGAAATTGTATTTTTTAATTTTTTTTTATGAATATCAAGATGAGGATTACATAATAAATGGCTTTTTTGATACAGTTGATTCACCCTCTTTATTAGTGTAGGTACCTAATGAAATACTTTGAAATCATCAGTAGATCTGTAAGGTCGGGAAGATTGAAAAACCCTGAAGAACATCGAAAACCAAAAGTTTCTTTATCGATTGATCGCAAAATCATTTTTCTGGTGCACATAGCACCGATATTTTTACAACCCAAAAAACCTGCTTACGTTCCGTAAACCGACGTATAGGTTCAAGAATATAATTTCCAAATATCAAACATATAATAACTGAATCATCTTTATATTGAGGTTGGTGTAACAGTGATAGCAATGATGAAATGTTTTGATAATTTTTAAAATGAATGGTTTGTTTAACTCAAGCTGTTACTCCTTCCATTCGCAGAAAAATGGCCTTCACTATGGCCACTTGTGAAGGTAATTTTCCACGATATATAATGCAGAAACAGTAAAATTAGATACGTCAACAGTTGAATCAGTATATAGTAACCTATATATACATCATGATACTAAAACCATACTCTTGGTTTTAGTATCATGACATTACATAATGGAATATAAATAAAATCTCAATTTACGAAATATATACGGAAAAATATAAATCAACATGAAAAAAACTCATATAAATAATTGCAATATGATGAAAGTAACAAAATAATACCCACAATAAACAGATGTATGATTTCCTATACTAATGGTGGCAGGCCTGCCTAACCTTATATCATCTGAATCAACAATTTACATATTTTTTCACTATTTTCATGCAACGTGATATGTTTACCTTCACCATTTTTATTGTACAATTTGCCTTCTCAATGCCAACTACCTCAAAAGGACCATCGTACCAGGAGTCGAATTATGTGCGATTTTCGTTTATTGTGATAACGAGATATCCAAGATTTATATAAATTTCGGTTGCTTTAGAATCATGACAAGCTTTTCGATGTATTTTAGCTCTCAGAAGAATTTGTTTTGCTTTGTCGCTAATTGCAATCGATATCAAACTGATTGATCATATTTATGTTTAATTTTTCCTATGTTGAATTGGCATTCGTGGCAGTTTTTAATAAAATTGGTAACATCACGCGACATATTTTTCCGAGTCCCATTTACGAGTTCTTCATTTTTCCGACAGATAGCCAACATCACCTCAGAATAAGCGAAACAGGCAACCGCAGCAGTACTCCCCATAATGGGTTCTACCGAATTAGATAGATACCCAGAAATCTTAGAGCGAGTACAACTCAACTTCTTCAAACGGCTACTGCAATTGTCTACTACAACACCTGATTATGCAGCCAGGATAGAGACATGCCGAGTTAGATTAAGCTATATCATCTTCAAACACACTTTGAATTGGGTTATTAAGATACGTGAGATGTGAGATGAAAGATCATCTTCCGAAAATATGCTTTCTTCGTCAAATTGATCTAGCGAACGGCAATGAGTCCTGTCTCATCAGGTATAATTGGACTTCACAATTTGAATGTCAACTCGATTACGTGGATTCCCCTACTCGTTGAATGATTTGAACAGCAGTATCTTAAGGCGTAACAAAAAAATACTTCTCACTAAATACTTTTGCGAAACGAAGGGAAAATGATATGGCTCTATTGAATGGATCCTCTAACTCCATCACACTTTATAGCTACTTCAAAATGAATACTGGTGCCCAACAGTACCTACACATGAGAATCTCTATTTCGGTTACTCGAACCCTGGCTCAACTCAGACTCACTAGCAAATAAACCATCAAGTTCACATATAACAGAGCTACTTATAGAATGAATCCTGATGAAATATATACCATGTGTAATCAACATCAATATGAAACAATCAACCATGTCTTATTCGATTACTCGATCTACGTCACTATGAAATCTCTAGATCTATCTATCTCTCATTTGAACGGGTTGGTTAACTTCTTCAGGAATATTACGCCCTCATCTGCAAAAAGTATGAGCACCCACATTTGGAATATTTCAAAACTCAGATCCTTTATCATGAACGAATGAAAGGTCACTGAATGTGCTTTAGGCTGTATATATAATTGACTATACTTTACCCGAGGAGTTCATCACATAGCTATTTGTCCACTTACATTTAATGCACTGACATGTATTGTATTAGGTATATATCTACTCATGTTTGAGATTCAGGGTTTATATTTTTTTTTCTTATCAGTTATTTCTTCCTACTAGCTTTTGGTAGGTATCATGTGATTTTATATATTTTTAAACTACAGCATCAATTCGGTGGTATATCTGTATTAGTCATAATTTTTGCTACCTTGAACTGTATGAACTCCTTGTTATGAAACCACGTGTTTCTGTAAACAATAAAGATTCTATTCTATTCTACTTTTCCATGTATAAGTAGATTTTAACTTCCTAAGTAGTCGTTTTTGACCACAGTGACCTCCTAATACTGAGTCTCTATGAAATTGTTTTACCACCTACAACTTTTCTTCTTTATAGGTTATAAAGCTTCCCAGCAAACATGATTTTTGCGGCCCTCTAAAGGTACAATGAAACCTGCCGGCGAGCGGTAACAGCGGTCCTCTATTGTACAACTAAATTGGGCCGGCTAGCCCGTGTCCCGGCGGCCGACAGCCGACCGCCTCTCTAGAGCCATCAGTATGCCGCTTATTACATTGCAGGGCTTCTGGTGGGCAGAAGCAAGTACTCAAATGTACCGCATTCATGGCATATCTTCGGCCCGATTGAGACTTTTCAGAGACTGCCATTAATTGGCCGCTTGAGAATTTTTATTCCCCCGATAGAGGAGTTTTTCAGGGCCGTTGGTTAACGGGGTTGAATGAATTCAATATATTTATGGTATTCTGTTTTTTGATGTCCTATTTTTCAACTAGGTTTGTCAAAAAATATACAGGGTAATGCATATATCTCAGTGAAAATAAGTTTTTTGAAAGGTACCCCAATTTATATCACCACTTGGAAAGCAAAGTATCTCATTTTCACTCAGATATTCATCACTCTCTTTATTTTCAAACTGGTTGAAAAATGTGGAACTTCAAAAAACAGAATTGAGGTCTCCCAGTTTTTTGTGAATCCTCTCTGGGTATAACAGAAATGTGGCATTCACTCCTTACCTGAAGTTGTTGAATAATTACATAAAAATCTCTGAGGAAGCATCCTGATATCACAGTTATTTCCAGGAAACTAGCAGTATAAATACCCCATACCAAAAAAAAGGGCTGAAAATATCCATGTGTGTATATTATTGCCATGATCTCAAACAATACATATCACAATTATGGAAACATCGAACATCTTAATTTTAGTTCTACATACCACTCTGTATACTCATCATGAAAAGGTACCTACAATTTACAATGATAGGTATTTGTGTTTCATCATGCAGGATAGATATTTGTTTCTCCACTTGTTTCAAGAAGTTGCTAACTCTAGGTCAAAAATTACATCACCTATGTACCTACCTAATAACTTGAAAGTTATGTATGTATAGTTAATCAGTTATTATATTGATCAAGTTATTGTCAACAATAGAGTTCAATCCAAAAGAAAATAATTCCCAGATATGGAGAACCTCACTCTTTATCATATTGATATGAGTGTTGCCTGAAAGTGAGATATCATATACCATGAAGAAATCTATATCATAGTCTGGATCAGTGTGTGATTTCTTCATTAATATCTGTGATTGATGGGCTTCTGGTTGTTGATTTTGTAGCTGAAAGATTGAATGATTTCATTCTCTACTAATCCAAAACATGCAACATTATACATACCTACAGTAATTCTTGAAATATAACTGTTTCTTCAAGTAGGTACTCTTTGATTTTCGTTTTGAAAATAGATTTATGATTCATATGTAATGAAAGCTCATGCATCTTATTATATTATTAGATTCTTGTGTATCCGCTGAACATGTCCAAACTATTATTGCATCTGTTTGTCCAATGGTGTTTGTAAAATTATTATCTAAAATAGGGAAATTATTTAGCTGTGCAAGTTTGTATATATGTTTGTTCCTCACTCACTCTGTGATATCCTTCCATTTCGTATAAAAATCCACTAGAAAACCAAACACGAACTGAACACAGTACTAAAATCTCTGTTGAGAGTGTTGAAACAACATAAACAAAGAAATTAATATACGCCATACTGAATCATTGTTACCACTGCAAAATGATCGAAATAAAAACTCACGCGAGCGAGGGATGCCAACGTTGAGTGAGTGATGACGGCACACTCCGTTGAAATTTTGATGGCCCTTGGACTTGGATACATACAGCGGAAAACTAGCGGCTGGGAAACACAGGCCCATCATAAGTATGTGTACATTCTGCCTCCGTCATATAATCTTTCAAAATCATATGGAGGGCCTTTCGAGGCATGCCGGCATCGACATTTGCCCGCCGTTCTCGCCATGGGCCCGGCTTTCTACCGCCTTTCGATGTTTGCTGGGTTACTCGGTTTGAAAAATGAAATGATTAAATTTTTTATATGAATTTGACCTGAGTGTCTGAATTCATTAATGGTGCACCTTCTACCCACTATGCAAAGAAATATCTCAATATTGCAGCAGTATTTCAATGTATAAATGGGTTAACATTCAGAATATTGATCAGCTTATTGTATCTGTTCCAAAAAAATATCAGTAGATAGCTAATCAAAAGTTATATGACAGGAACATGTGAGCCGTTTTGACCATTACCTAATGAATAGTTTCGACACAAAAAATCCTACATTTGAAGAATCTCAATTCTCAACACCCTATATCTCTGTGATAATTCCCACTAGACACCAAGTGTGATGCATTGATGGAATCAACTCTTCAGGGAAAACTCAAAAATGCAATAATATACAAGGTGTTCCATTGAAAAAAACCAATCATCAACCGATATCTTGGAATTCGAACACCCTATAGATATGAAAACAACTTCAGGTGATTGTTCTTATGAAACCCTATTACTGTTGTACTTGAATTTTCATTTTATATATCTGACGGTTTGGCTTATATCGGAGGAGA